CTTTCTCTGTTCATACTAACTATTGCTTCCTTCATTTTCTTTCTTTATTTGACACACTAGTGAATACAATTTCTGCTCTGCAATAACATCTTCTGATTTAAGGAAGCAGACGAAATAATGGACATAGAGTTTTTCAGCTTCTGGTGCTAGAAAATTTCTGCTTCAATTCTGTTAGGATTGAAGGGGAAAGAGAGATGCTAAGTTATCCACACAAGCTACAAGAAAGAATGATATTATTCTTATGTTTTAAGTACAAGTCTGTTGATGAGATTATTAAGGAATAAAGGTAAACCTTGGGTAGCTGAGTTTTTTCATTCTGCTTGGGAAAGGATTGTAGTAAAGAGTTTTGCTTCTCACAATATGGATAAGTAGCATTAACGTCATCTAGATGCTTGTCAACGTGAAAAGTTGTGAATGACCTGGGTCCTCCTTTCTGATGTAGCAGGCAAGAAAGCCAATTCCATCAGAAAGGAGGATGGTTTACTTGTTTACCTACAAGTAAACCAAAATTTCCACCTTCACTAATGACCAAGGAGCCAGCTAAAAATTTGAACAATGGGTATTTAGGCTTTGGGTCACCACACGATACTCTACAGAATTCAGAAGGGTTAAACCTTGCTCTACTCTGCACATAGATAGCATTGGTATTGCTTTTCTTTCTTTTTTTTTTTTCTTAAATAAAAATTTATTTATCTATGCATACAGAACTGAGGTACAGGCCAGAGGTGCAAGCATGGTGAGAGGCTTCACCAGAAGCAAAGCAGGGAGCAGAACACGTAGATCAAAGAATTACACTGCTGAGGGGTGCAGTGGGCAGGTCAGGAGAGGTCTACTATGCCATGTGGTTCAGTTACCTCCTTGGCTGGGGATCAAATTCATGGTGAAGCTGCTGTCGCAAGCTTCCTGGTGCTGTACCATTGTGCCATCAGGGAGGGCCCAGTATTGGTATTTCTTTAGGTCACAATTAGGAAATCAAAAGTTGTAAACCTATAAATGGAAACCTGTCTAGAATAGTCATAACTTACTACCAATGATCCACTATTTCTCTTTCTCCTCCACACATGCACTACTCCGTAATAAGGTGGGTCGTTAGAACTAAAGCTTACTGTCCAAGAAGTTCTCAAAATTGGTCATTTGAACCCAGGTTCAAGTCTTTACTTTGATTACTTTGATATGCTGTTTGCCTATCACTGAGTTTTTTGTTTGTTTGTTTTTTGCAGCTGACCTTAGAAACACAGAATCTTTGGTTCCACTGTTGCCTCATGCAGAACTTGCATTTTAACAGATGCTTGGACGTCACAACTTGGAAGCATGGGCATCAAGGAACCATCCTTAAAATTCAGATCAATTTCCGCTTTAGCACTCCTTTGAGCAGGCTTTGGGTAAGTTACTTAATTTAAGAGTTGTAGAGTATAAAAATAAAATGTGTACAGTTTTGCAGTAGTAGTAAATAATAACAGCTATAGTCGTGTTTTTCTTTTAAAAGATAGAACAGAGAAGATTTTGTTTTACTCTGACTACATTTTAAGATTGGAACCATTAAAGAAAGAAAATACCTATTTTGAAAGTATTCTTTTTTTCTCCCTGACATTTGAAGCAAAAATCCACATTTCTCAAGCTACAGAGTTGAAAGCTAAGTTATTTGGTGAAATACAAAGTTATCGACACATGAGCAAATATATAAATTGTGTACACAAATTAGAAACGTGGATATTTAGATGTTGACCTTTGATTTGATGTCATCTGAGAAATGTCTCTAAACAAGAATAATGATTGGACCTGGGTTTGATTTTCAATTTACTTATTAATGACATAAATTTTGGCAAATCACAGATGTGGGGGCCTCTCAAATTTTCATCTGTAAAATATGGGAAACAGCCACTCATAGGATAGGGTTGTTTTAAGAATAAAATAAGAGTAATGTGATATATTTATGTTTTAGTCCATCTGTCCACCCATCCATCCAGCCATACACCCACCCACCCACCTTATAAGCATTGTTGTGTTCTGGGCATAGGTAAAATCACTAGACATCCAAGCGTGAAAAAGACATAGCCTTTCTATCAGTCTTTAAAAGAATATATGCAAAACCTTCATGCCAATAATTATTGGATATATGAGAAAAAGCAGTCACCATACTAAGAACACTAATGTTATTTTTTACTTGTTTTTCAAGAAAAGTGAGACTTAAGGAAGCTAAGTAACTTCCCATGGGCGTTTAGCTTAGGTGGTAGAACAGACGTGGAATTCAAATCCTGCTAGCACAAGGCACCGGGCAGGCACTCTGCAGAAGTTTGATACAGTCAGGACTACCACTGGATGACTTTATTGGAAACTCCCCTTGCCCTGGGGTCCCCTGTTTTGCCTCTTTTCTGTGAAGTGTTCCACCACTGTGTACTGTTTCTCTTGTACAGATGCCTCCCAGCTGGAGCTGGGACTGAAAAGTCACCTGCAGAATGTTGAGACTCACTCTTCTTCCATCCTTATAAGAAAAAAAAATCCTTTGTGGTTAAATTTCAAGCACCTTTTAACTCTCCAGCAGCCATTTGGTCTCTGCTATTTCTGTTTTGCAGATGAATTTATTGCATGTGTTATTTCCCCCTTAAAATTTAAGGACACGTATCTTCATGAAAAGAACAAAGAGAGAAAAACAACTTGTAAATTATCACAAGAAAAACCCCTGCTAAAAGCAATAAGTTCGCTGACAGATGGCAGAATCAGTTGAAAAGCGAGTACCATATTTACTAAGTCTAACCCATTTTGTCAGCCAAAAAAGTGTTATCTAATTCTATCCCCTGTGTATGTGTATGTTTTGGAATAAACAGATGCCTAATGAGGAATGTGTCTAGTGTAGTTTTGGAGGAACCTGGATAAAGCCAGGTTCTGATTCAGGATTTGATTTTGACAAATATCAAAGTGTGCAAAGTCGAATCTATTGTAAATAAAATTGTCAGAGCAAAAACAGCATTAAAATGCTGTCAAAGCAATAACATTATTTTTTAAAAACAACACACCCCAGAATTATTGTATCACATAAATTTGCTTTTAAAAACCCCTCTATTATTTATATAGTTTTATAACTACCAAGTACTAAAAGGAAGGGCATGTGCCCAGCCATGTTTAGAAAATATGAATGCGTGGCCAGCAGAGATAACAAACTTGGACTTTATCAAGCTTTTTGAAAACAATGGAAAACTAAATGGAAGTCAATCAAGACTTTCATTTATTTATACTGGGTAGGCCATGACTGAGATAATCTCAACTAGTGAAATATAGCCTCATTACTTTCCCCCAAAGACTAGTTTCCTAAAAAAAAAAAAGAAATGCAAATCCTACTACTATCTTATTTTGAATACTGAATTTTGAGACTGTGTATTCAGATGAAGATGGATCAGGATCCAGTCTAAATCACTAAGAATAAATAAACTCTGGGAGACTATATCCATAAAAAGAACTTAGAATAGACTCACATTCTAAGCAGGAACATGTGCATGGTTTCTAGAAAGTGGACTTAGTGATTATGTAATGCCTCTGTGAGTTTCCTGAGCAAGACATGCCCAGCACTGATTGGCAGAGGTCAGCATGGCTTTTAGCTATTCCCCTGTAGGTAGCCAGTGTGCGTGGCCTGCTCCTCCCTCTCCTCTCTCTCCTCCCTCCCTTCCTCTCTTCCTCCCTCCCTCCTTTCCATAAAAAGCATGGAAGCATAATAAAATTAATAACATACACAACATGAACACCAAAGCAAAGGATATTGTAGAGATGAAGAAAATGTGTTAAAATAATAAAAGGATCAGCTCACTCAGCACCCATTACAGTATTAAATGCATGCACATTTAACACAGAAATTCCAAGTACGTGAACCTAAAATGACAAGGAAAAAAGTTAAATTAAAAAATGTTCCAAATCGTAATTAAAGATGCAAACAATCCTCCCTTACTCATTGACAGACTGAGTAGACATCAGCCATACAGACCCGCAGAGACAGAGATGAACACTATAGTCTGGCCCTACCTGGCATTCACGGGACCCTGCACCTAACAGTTACAACAATGTACATTCATTTCTCATGCATAGGGACATATGGCAGCTCAATGAGCTCCCATTTCATGCTCATAAGTAATGAGCTTAATCCTACTTTTATATATTTATTGGTGATTCGGCTGGTGTGTCCTGACCAGATTTCCTCCCCAGGACTATGCACCTATGCTCCACTGCTGACAATGGCTCGTACTTGTCTCATCTCAGAAGGCTACCAGTGGCTGATGGCACCCTCCTCACCCTGTAGAGGCCTGGCTTGACATTTTTAGAAGGCTATCCGCTACCAGACGCAGCCCACCTCCAAGGACCGGCTGAGCTGAGGGTACAACACATCAGCAATCTTGTGTCTGGGCAGGACTAGCTGTGGTTGCAATTTATGTTCCAGACTCCCTGTGAGATCAGACTGAAGTAAGATGAAAACAAGGAGAAAAATAAAAGTGCGCTTTGTCGTTCCCATGCCTGCCAGGGCTGGGAACCGTGTGTGTAGAGAAAGGCCACAAAGCGTGCACATGGCCCATCCTTCCATTCCAGGGCACCCAACAGACTTCATCAAGTCTGCTCACTTTAGTCCTTTTTTCCTTAAGACAGACTTTGCTAGTAGTGACAGGAGAGAATCTGCTGGCTGCTTTGTATCAAAACAATGAAAAACCTGATGTCTTTGAAGTGCAGTCCTAAAGAGGTTTTAAATACAAGCTGACCAGCAGGGATGAGCTACCTTATTAAGGCAGCAGAGCTGATCCTGCAAAGCCAATTAGTAACACACACAGCTAGGGACCAGTTTTCCCTTTTCTTTTAAAATGTCAAGAAATTCTAGACCATGTAAAGGTCCCAGAGAAAATGTGTGATTTTTCAGGATAGGTTCAAGATTCAAGTACAAAGTTTCCTCTTTTTTTTTTCTTTCCAGTAATTTGCTGAGCCGTGCTGTGCTGTGCTGCTTGGCAAACTACTTAACCTTTCTGAACCCGAATTCAGAAAAGCTCCAAAATACTTGACACATTTCTTCCAAGGCGCCAGTGGAATTAGCGAATGATTCAGCAAATGTGTTTTATGATTCCTGGAAACGTAAGCTCACATTTTTTTAATAAACACTGGGCAATGTAAAATCATTCTTATCTAACATTTTGCCCGTTCAACCCAATGTCCTATTTCAAATGTATCCTTCAGTTTTTCTTTTCTTTTCTTTTTTCTTTTTTTTTTAAGATTTATTTATTTGTGCATACAAAACTGGGGTACAGGCCAGAAGCTCAGGGGCGGCGAGAGGCTTCACCAGAGACAGAGCGGGGAGCAGAACAGGCAGATGACGAAGTACACTGCCGAGGGGAGCAGCGGGTGGGTCAGGAGAGGTCTGCCGCGCCATGTGGTCACCTCCGGGGCAGGCGGGAATCGAACTCACGCGGAAGTGGCTTTAGATTCTCAGTGCAGTGCTTTAACCCGCTGCGCCACCAGGGAGGGCCAGTTTTTCTTTTTTTTTTTATGTCCTTAACGTTGTTTGTGCTTTTCTGCTTTCTTGAAAGTCAACCCCCCGCAATCTTCATTGGATGAAGCAATGTCTGGAAGGGCGATGCCTAGGGATGTGGTGCACTGGTTAAAGTCTTCGGGGTTTTTTTAAATTTTTTTTTTGACTGAAAAACTAAAATATACTTGATTTTTAAAAGCTCGATGTCAATGCTTGAATTTGATCAGGTTTGGCCTAATGGCTGCACTTGGCCAAACTGTGATTCCACTAGTGAAAGCATCCCACTCTACATAGTGTTATCAATTCTATATATTTTTAAAATTTATTTTTTAAGCATATAGTACAGGGGTATAAGACAGAAGTGCAGGGACAGTGAGAAGCTTCATCAGAGACAGAGTGGGGAGCAGAACAGGCCAACTGATGAAGTACACAGCTGAGGGAAGCAGTGGGGGGTCAGGAGAGGTTTGCAGCACCATGTGGGTCACCTCTGTGGCTGGGATCAAACTTACACTTCGGCAGCTGCAGCTAGCTGGCAGTGCTGTGCTTTAACCCACTGGCCATCAGGGAGGGCCATCAATTCTTTATCTTTTGTGATTTGGTTAATATGCTTCAGTTTTGCTCTTTTTTCCTGTGTGTACTAATGTGGCAAAATAATCTCACAAATATTATAGTTATATAATATTTAGACGTAGTAATAACAAATAATTTACTGTCCCACCCCCCCCAGCCAATACTTGTCACCCTCCCCCTAAAAACTGAGTTTTCTTATCTTCTTATTTTCAAACTTAAAAATCTTTGCCTTTATTTTTATCTACCCTCACTTTCTTTTAAATTTTTTTTTTTAAAAGATTTATTTTATTTGTACATACAGAACTGGGGTACAGGCCAGAGGTGCAGGGGCGGTGAGAGGCTTCACCAGAGACAGAGTGAGGAGCAGAACAGGCAGATCGACGAAGTACACTGCTGAGGGGAGCAGCGGGCGGGTCAGGAGAGGTCTGCCACGCCATGTGGTCACCTCCGGGGCAGGCGGGGATCGAACTCATGCGGAAGTGGCTTTAGCTTCTCAGTGCAGTGCTTTAACCCGCTGCGCCACCAGGGAGGGCCTCTTTTAAATTTTTTAAAACCTTTTTATTTTCAACACTTTCACACCTACAGAAGTGTGCAATAAATACCCATTTAATATTCTCCAGAATTCATGGTTGTTAACATTGGGTCATATTTGCTTTAGCTCACGCACTTGGCTTTTTTTGTGTGTGTGTGAAATATTGAAAATAAGTTGCAGACATGCAGACTTTATGACACCTCTGCTTTTATGCTTTAATGTAAATCCCCTTAGCATGAGGACATTCTCAGGCCCTCCCTGGTGGTGCAAAGGGTTAGGACACAGCACTGCAAGCCATCCACCACTGCTTCAGTGCGAGTTCGATACCCGGCCCCAAAGGTGACCCACATGGCACAGCAGACCTCTCCTGTCTTCCCCAATGCTCCCCTCAGCAGTGTACTTCGTCAATCTGCCTATTCTGCTCCCTTCTCTGTCTCTCGTGAATCCTCTCACTGCCCCTGCACCTCTGGCCTGTACCCCAGTTCTGGATTCATAAAGAAATAAATATTTTTTAAAAAAAGAATGAGCACATTCTCCTATAAAGACACAAAACCACTGTTTTTGGTTTTCATAAAACCAAATTTATAGTAATGGTATTAGTATTATTTAATAATCAACTATTCAAAATACCTACCAGCTGATCCTCCTCCAGCCTCTGGCTCTGACTTAGGATCCAGTTATGTATCATGAGTTGTGATTGTCACAGATTTGCAATTACCTTGAATATGGTGTGGTCCTCTTGCCTTTGTTTTTCACAAAAGTGACACTTTCAGAGACATATACTAAAGGATGTATAGATTGTCTTCAAGTGAGGGTGCATCCAACTCCAACACTGTGGCAAGAATGTTATAAAAAGGCCTTATACCTTTTTGTGCCACATAGGAGTCAAGTGTTATTTGTTTCTTTCTTTCTTGGTGATGCCAACTTGAATTATTTGGTTAAGGCAATCTTCCCGTGCAAGTGGGAGCTTTGTAGAGTGAGACTTTGAAATGTGAACATCCTGTACCTCAAGTGTCCCAATCTCGGTGTATGAACCAAAAGATGATTTTCTAACTTTTCTATTCCTTTCACATCATTTGTCTTTCTTACTTAAAGCAAAATTCTACCTTCTGTCTCTTTGCTTTCCATGGAATATCATTATGGTTACATGGATATTTTTATTTAATCAATATATCATAATTGATTGCACATTATTCTTTCCCCGTTTTCTCACAAAATATAATTTTATTTACTCATCTGTTTTACTATTATGAAAAAATTTAAGATAATTACTCTATAGTAATACAAGCAAACCTATTATATAAAGTTTAAAATTTCTGTGCTGTTTTTTTTATTTTGTAGATTGTGTCTCTGTAAGAATATAAAGAAAAGGTGCAGTGTTTTTTCTGTATTGTTATGCTATCAATTTGATTTAAAATTAGGGTTGGGTGTTTATGTCCCTTTTGAATTAATTCTTTTAATGTAAAATATTTGTATGTTTCTAATGTTAAAACAATATAAAAATACAATAAGAGATCTCAGTCTTATTTCTATCCCTTCTACCGTATTCTCAGCTATTACTAGAAGTAATAATTATTATTGTTTTATTATACAAAATATAGTGTCAGTTTTTTTTGTACAAATTACCCACTCAGAATATACCTTCCTATTTCATCCTTCTCTTGTACATCTTTTTCTTTAGCCATATGTCCTTGGAACTACTTCCTATCAGTCCAGAGAGATCATCTTATGATCTTATGTAAAGCTGTATGATATTCTTTTCCCTAAAATGTCTACAGCTTATTTAACCAGCATACAGGTTATTGCCAATGTTTTACTATTATTCATATTTCTTCAGTGAAAAATCATTTGTATGTCTGTGTATGTTGCCTTGTATTTAAAAAGGGACATTCTTATCTTTTTTTTTTCTTTAAGATTTATTTATTTGTGCATTGGGGTACAGGCCAGAGGCTCAGGGGCGGTGAGAGGCTTCACCAGAGACAGAGTGGCGAGCAGAACAGGCAGATGAAGTACACTGCTGAGGGGAGCAGCGGGCAGGTCAAGAGAGGTCTGCCTCGCCATGTGGTCACCTCCGGGGCAGGCAGGAATCAAACTCATGCGGACTTGGCTTTAGCTTCTTAGTGCAGTGCTTTAACCCGCTGCGCCACCAGGGAGGGCCCGAGACATTCTTATCTTAAAGACCTAGATCTTCATTATCTCCCAGAAGATAATAAAACTGTATTGTGGGAGTGGAGGATAAGGAGAGATCACTGGGAATGAATTAGAAGTGTATGGTAGGACCCTAAAGAGAAGGGTGAGAGTCCATGAAACTAAAGAAAGGAAAGGAAAAGGTTCTGCCTTCAGTAGTTGATAAAGTCTTGTGCCCAGCTCCTCACAGATCCTCAGAGAGGGCAGAAGCCATGTAGAGACTCATAAAAAAAGCAGAAAGGAACTAGGTCTTGGGAGTCTAAAAAATTACCTTGTAACTGAAAGGACTTGGAGCAACAGAGCCATCCTATTCTCTAAAATATCACCCAGACTTGGGCAAGGTTTATCTCATTGGTATTTAAAGAGGGATATTCTGATTGTGAAGATAAGTAGTCATGGACAGAAGTTGGTCCCAGAATTTCCCAAAGCTCCAGCACTTTTAGAACATTAGGGGAAATATTATCAACATTGAAATTTGTACCAGGCGAACAGAGAAAGATATCTTGGTTTTTTGCCCCGCTGTTGTGAAATAAATTCCCTTACTTTCAAAATGATATGTTATATGTGTGTACATGTATGTGTGTGTGTTTACTGAAATGACAGTGTTTTAAATATTTATAGAATGATATAACATTATAACATTTTCTTCTATGGCTCATTTTTCTAACTTAAAAATATATTGGATATATATATATATATGTATATATATATATA